CGGCACCAAAATGTGATTGTCATTTTACTTATTCTAAAATTTCTTTCAGAATAAACCTGTATAGGAGAATTCGAACACAAGGAAAGACTAAGTGCATGAGTTTTACTTGTTAGAGTCACACAATTAAGTGTATTTCGAACCACTAAAACACCAAGAAATATTACGATGCTTTCTCTCAATAACAATACTCTTTCATCAACTGATAATAACAGTGTATAACCTTGCATTCTCAAAATTCCGCTCAAAATACAATAATTTCCATGCATCACTAGGAATAACAAATTTCACTCCAACAATCTGAATTCACATAATTTCTATAATCATAGACTTCCTCTGTGAAAACACACACAGCTCTCAATAAACAACAGTCATAATATTCCAATAACTCCTTATATAATTCAATCACTTAATACTCCAATTACATAATCAATAACTCATAAATCAATCTTTGATTTATTCCACAGACTCACTTCTCAATATTCAAAAACTATCCATCACTCTTCAATAACAAAGAAAAAAAACAAAGAAACAAAGAAGTAGTACCAAGCTTACCCCGGCTCATGACTATCATAGTCTGGCACCCCAACAAACTTCTACAATTCCTATATAATTGCTCCTGATTTCTAGATTCTAACCGTGATCCTGTAATTAACCGCTTTTAATAACTAAATCAATCATCCGTCCTCCTGAACTGACTATTCTATGGACTATTAGTCCATTTTACCAATATCTTATAGAAACAAACTAATATCTATTCTACAATAGATATACTTAAAGAATTTCTTTTAGATGATGTATAATCAATTAAAAAACAAAAACCTCCTATTATTGAATTTTTTTTTGTTAAAGTTGTAATACCACAAAAGAGTTATTTAATTCAAAATCAAAAGAATATGATAATGATCTGTAATGGTGATGAGAAGTAATCAAATTATTATTTAGAATAAATCTAAATTTAATTATTCCTTTTTAGAGTATTAATATATTCTTCATGTATTTCATTTGGACTAAAAATGGACAAATAAAAGAATTAAATTCCTAGGACTTTAATAAAAGAATAGGATTGATCATCCTCAATTTCCATATCATTGAGAATTAGTTCTTCTTGTGTCTTTTTTTTGTCATATTCTTTCTATCAATATCTTTATTGATATGTCTTTTCTAAATTATAATATTTTCATAAATCTCAATTTTTAGCAATGTCTTTGTATTAGCATTCATCTAATTAAATTTTATTTAAGTAATTATTTCTTTTAAGTTTTGTTTGTATAGGTCTTGGTGGTGCAAAAAAAATTATTATAATAATTTAAGATTTTTGTAACCAAAGATCTTTTTTTAATGTCCAAAAGTCCTCAAAATTATAAATATGTCTAAATTGCAATGGTATGATAGAAGTGTTTTTAATAAAAGTACTATGTTACTTATGATAGGATCTATAACTAATACTATGTTTGTTACATACAAATTTTTCAATTGGAGCGTAGTTGTTTCATGCATAAATGCAACAAAGGCAATGCTCTTATGTGATGTGGTGATATTATAAGAAGATAGCTTATTAAGAGTCTTGTCTATTTCTTCTTCTTTGAAATTGCTTTTAGTGTTGCAATACCAATGCTTTAACTAACTATAGCTTTTAATACTATAATTTAGTGCCATAGAAGTATTACAATCTAATATAAAAATATAATATTATAGAAATAATAGTAACCCAAAGGCTTATAAAAGTTTTATACTATAATCTACAAAACTTAAAAAAGAGATATTTTTGTCAAATAAAAGGTGAAGTATCTAAACATAACTAGTCAAACTACTTCTAATTTTATCAAATTATAATATAGCTATTAAATAAAATAAAAAAAAATTATATTATAAAAGAGCTTAAATGAAAATATTTTGGTAAATTATCTTTAAAATATAATTAATAGACAAGAAGGTAGTAAAAATTAATAAATATTAATAATTTTTATATTTTATATAAAATTAAAATTAAATAAATATTAAATAGATTATTTATGTTTTTTATTAAATAGTTTTATTGCTTATAATATTATTTAAATTATCAAATATACTAAGACACTTTAATATTATCAACTAAATCAAGATCTTACTTTGGTGGTATTAAAGTATTACAATGGTTTTTTATTTTTAATTTGTAATATTATAAGTATTATTAAAATTTGGATCTAAATTAAAAAAGATATTTTTTGTTCACGTTTTAATAGTAGTGTAGCTCTATTATTACATTTTATATCTTTGTTATGTAAAATAGTTAAAATTCAGTTTGTATCCATATCCATATCCATCTTATGCATTTACACGTTCCAATTTGGCTTTCTATGATTTGCTAATATTAATTTATATCTATAATTAGTATATAATTTTATTTTTTTAATCATTTTTAAAGATACTATATTCTCTTAGTTGGAAATTCTTCTTTATTCTAGTCTTATTGTATTACATTGTAAAATGTGATTGCATAAAACTAGAAAATGACTAATGATTAAATTTCTATTTGATTTTTTTAAATAACTCTATATCTAAAGAGGTTGTGACACTACTACAGGAGATGCCATTCTTACTAAAAATAGTATATGATATCCATGTTAGTATCTATTTGTTTGATTACTTTTATAATCAATTTAAATAATCTTTTTATATTTATCCTTCTATTATCTTCTAACAAAATGTCATTGTCTTTCGATGTTGAGGCATTGGCTATATTCAATTCTAATGTCATGTAAATAATAAAAATATATCAATTTTAAATTAATTAATATAATATATGATTTTTTCATTAATAACTTAGATATTTGAATTATTCTAATTTTATAATTTTTATCATTTATATTATTATAATTTAAAATATTTAAAGATATGTATGTATTTATGTATCTAACATTTTGATTTGTAGTATTATTGGTATGTGGTTGTAAAGAATTTGATGTATTATTCAATAATATGCTACAAGTCTTGATTCTAAGACATGATCTATCATATAATAAATTATTGGATCTTAAACCTTCTTTTTTTTTCTCTATTTTTTCTTCAATGATTTGTATAATTGTTTGTCTTTCATATTTGTAATACAAATAAAATCTTCCTTGTGAGTAATCTAATTTTTAGTAGTTAATGATAAAAAAAACTTATCAACCATGCATTTGTTAGACTTATTTTAGTCAAAATCTTTGTTTAGATCTTGTTGTCTCTTTCTATGGATGATAAATTATCTTTTTAATATTCTTTTGGAATTGAAAAGTACTAAATATTCTTTATTTCAATGATTTTTTAATAAAATAAAAGTAACATATAATAAAAAAATGATTTTAATTAATCTCAATAGTAATATTTACCATATTATAAAATTTTATAAATAATATTTTAAAATTTTATTTAAAACTTAATTGCATAGAAATACAATTATGAGGTTCTAAATATTCTTATTCTTCAAATCTATACAAATAACATCTTCAATCTTGCTTGCAACCTTTGAGGTGACTAATTTGTTTTTAAGTCCAATTACAACCTCTAAAATAAGAAGTTTAAACTTTTCTAATGAATATTTTATAATAATTAAAATTGAGATATAAAAACCACTAAAATTAATTATTATATACAAGTTTTAAAATGCTTCTAGATCAAATAGAGATTCTATTGCTAAAAAGTATAGATTTCAAAGATAGAATAACATAGAATAACCTTTGAATTTTTCAAATAAAAAAAACTTTGTTGATAATTCTTGCAATCAATAGAAAGTCCTTTGCAAAAACCTTTAGATTATGTTATCACATTTCAAAATCTTTCTTTGATAACATACCACCAACAAAGTATACAATAATAACTTCTTTTTTGTAAATATGTATTTTTGGTAGTAATAAGATTACAATCTAGTACAATTTCACAAAGATTGGCTCTTATCAAGAAACCTAAGTAGCTTCTATTATATTCATGCAGCAAGTATTTACCTAATTGTGCCTTTGTTAAGTAAGGTCGACTTTCTTGTCTACATGCTTCAAAAGCTTCTTATATTCCATTATGTAGCTACTTTCTAATTCCATCTATAGATTTGTTGTGCACCTAGGACTCTCGTTGTGTAGAGTAATTTTTTTGTATAGTGTATATTTACAATGCTATTGAACAAAACTTAACACAAAAAATCAAAATCAAAAATCAATTAGTTATTAATATAATCAAACTTAAATATTGTGAATAATTATCTGTATGTATAGTTATTTTTATATAATTTTAATTTTTTAATATGCATATTATTATTATTATTATTATTTATATTAAAACACACCATTTGAGAATATTCTTTATTTTATTTCTTGTGGATACATGTGCATGAACCATATTAATCTCATGCATATGAAGCCACGCCTTATTTTTATTTGTTTGGAATATCAACTTAATACTTTACTTTGTCAATAAATCACAGCTTTAATTGGAGATACCTGTAATTTGCTTTCAGGGATAATACTTTTGAATATTAATCTTCCTGAGAAAACATTTTCCACCTTCTGTGTTCAACAATGACACCCTTGTGCAAGTTATTTTACCTTGTTTTCAAGTCATGAGAGTATACATATTTTTAACGATTCATATTATGATTATCCTCCAATTTTTTAAAAAATATTTCCAATTGGTAGATGCAAGTAAGACATTTTTGGGGGTCTCACCCCCAAAGCAATTAATATTGGTCTGATGAGCTTGGGAAGATTGGACATGGATAGGATCATGCAACTCATCAATACGATAAAAGAACGTCGACAGAATCTACATGCAACATCAGCTTCATCAGTAGTGCGGACCGAGAGTCATGTGGCACGTGGCATCACTGTTTCACTGAATGGTGTCCAACAGACGGCGACCTCCAGTAGGGAATCCTATTCATGGACGAACGCTGGACGCGAGGCGCGCAGTATTCATCTATTAGCAGCTACTCAGGGATGAGATGAAGGTGAACGAGATTCATTCGTCGCACTGTTATCCAGTAAAACCCTCCAGTCTTGGTTTTTTCCTCACAGCGACGCAGTGCAGGGTCGGGAGCTCATCTTCTTCAAGGGAAGGGCCTCGTCCTTGTTGTAGCTGGGCTATGAAGTGGGAGATTTGAAGGCACCGCTGCCCCTCAGCGTTGGGCCGTGTCTGGATTCTGCGGTAATCTTCTCTCTGTCCTTGCTGCTGTCACCGTGAACAGCTTCCCATTTTTTTTAAGAAAAAAATTGTGTTCCAGGACGTCGGTGGCGTGGCTTTCATGGTCGGTGGGGAGAGTTTAGGGTTGTGGAGCTCAGCGATTTGCATGAAACTTAAGATATATGGTTGCGTTTTCCTGTAGAACGTGTGAAACGGTGTTAATGCAAATGAAATTCTGCAGCTGCGGTGCACTTACGAGGGATTAGGAGGACGTCAGGGTTTTTTGTTAGCGTTGATTGATTGGCATTGGAGATTGTGTGGTTCAATAGCTGTTTTGGGATTGTTTTGTTGATGGAAGTGAGAGTAGAGGTAATGGTCGCGACGAAAGAGTCTTTTCATGAATTACAAGAGTTGCTCTTGTGGTAGATTTGCCCAGTGCTTGCGTAATTGAGATGTGGCGTAAATCCTACAATTATTGAACATATTAAAATTTCGAGATGCGTATTTTTTCCACCGTAGGGTTGGTGCATATAGTGGGCATAGTTTCCTTAGTTTGTTCTCAATTCTCTGGTGAGAAATTGCGGAGTTTGTGCGACGCCTCGGGAATGGATTCAAATTTATGTTCATAAGCTCATCAGAAAACTTCCTAGCAAACGGTTGAAGCGTAATCTAGTTTCTGAATTGTGCTGTCTGATTGGAGCACTGCTTTTTAATAGAAGTTGAGTGGGAACCAAGTTTTCAAAGTGCCTCCGAAGGCGGCCAAGTCAAAGATTATGATTCCAAAACCTTTTCAAGTTCAGCTACATAGCGAGCGTAACTTAAATAGATTTTACATTTGAGTTGTTGTGTCAAAATTGGGTTAGGTTGATGCGATGGAACGATCAACATCTGTAACGTAGTGAAGTATTCAACCATAGAGTGCGGATTCTTTTTTTGATTTGCAGGCTAGAGTTAATGGTTGGGAACTGCATTATATATCTGCTGCACTAGAATTGGAAGAATGGCGTTAGCGAACCTTCAAGTATTGGTAAGTGGTGTTCCTTTCTGAAATTCGTCTTCCATGCTGTATGTTGGAATTGAGTGTCATTACTGAAAGACTGTTTGTTCATGCGCAAAGCTTAATGGAAGTAAGATCACGTTTACTGTGTGTTCTTATGATATCTTTCACACATTAATGTGTTCCATTAATGTGTTCCATTAATAGGTTGATTGGGTTAGGTTGATGCACCTTACATGTAGTTGAGGTGTTGAATTTGCTGAGTATTACTTTTGCAGGGCGCGAGCAGCTTGCATTTCGTAAGAGTAATTACTCCACAGACACGAGTTCAAGCGCGAGATAAATCTCGTACACCCCCTGATGCAGTTACTTTTAGGCCTAGAAAGCTTTGCAGAGTCCAGCACCCTTCTTGGTTAGAACCTCCATCTCCGTCAGGATTGCGATTCCTGTTCTGGTGTGCATTGGGTGTGGGCAGCTACAATATAAAAAGTACTAAGTAATGAACTTTTCATTTTGTGTTGTAACTTTGCAAGTTCAAATTTGTGTACTTGTTTGCATTAATGCAGAAAATGTTTCGTTCTGTTGTAGTTCTGGCAGTTTCCTGAGTTCACGACGTGGAGGTTTGATCCGGTTTCAAAGACCACATGCCCTATCATTGCAGATGATCACTGCTGACCACGAAAATAGTGGAGAGCAGGATCCTGAGCTATCTTCTGAAACTGCATTTGAAGCCACGGACGCGTCATCAGAGTTGCAAGAAGAGGAGAATTTGAAACAAATTATTGTTGTTTCTTTGCAAGGCTTTCAGGAGCGTCTTAAAGAACTACGTGAACGTGGAATGCTTGAAAGTGCTAAATTAGGATATCAAGACGCTCAAGAGAAAGTTCAAAATCTTGATGCTAAGCAGTTGATCACAGATTTAAAGTCCTCTCAATTGAGCAACCATGCAGCTAGATGGTGGCAGACATCCGATCCCTGGATTAAGTGGCCTATTGCTATTTTGTACGTACACTCTGCTGTCTGCTTTTTGTATGATAGTAAGAAGGTTTCTCGTTTGTATGTGCAGGAATGTCAAAGTCATGTTAGTTCTGATTCAGCTGTGTGAAGATACAAAAGTGATTGATAATTGTAGGTGGATGACTTTATCATGTTTCAGTCTTTGTGGCTGCTTTTGTATATCAGATCTTGTAGATCTTTGAAGGTCCTACTAGATTGTGGGTCTCAAAAATTGCAGTGGCTTGTGGCTGATGTTTCAGGGCAACTCCAGGGAGTGGATGTCATAATTTGACTTGAAACTGACTATAGTGCAATTTTGAATGATTTTTCTATGTGCAGTGTACCTTTCTGCTTGCTGGTGACGATATTCTTTGGCCTAGCAGTGTCACAAGATCTGCTGCCTTTATGGATTTTGGGACCATTGATTACTGGCATTGTGATCCGACAAGTTTGTCGAGCAGCTGAATTGAGTCGCGTAGTGGCTGAGAAAACAGCTGATCAGAGAGCCCAACTAAATGCTGCAACCTTGGCGCTATACAAAGATGCGAAGGAAGGGACACTACCAGAGAAAGCGAAGTTGTTGGCAGAATCAACGTTGTCTGAATTGGGGGAGAGAATATCAACAAAAAAGTCTGAGATCACAGTCTATGTTTCAAGCGGGCAGGCAGCAACGGGCGCGAAGATTTTTCTTGTAAACAAGGCAACTGACTTTGGGGAATACACTGCTGAGCAGTATGCAGATTACATGGAGTGGTGGAGGCCGAAAGGCCGTGCTCTTTCAAGATGGTTGAAAAAAATCTTCTGATTTAATCAGACTCCGAGTCTAGTTTGGTGCAACTCACAAACTGGTACTCTTGCAAGTGACATCTTAGAAGCTGGCATTTTGAAGCAGTTTTGACTTTCCAGCTTGAAATTAGTTCACATACCTCAGTTTTGGATTGCCACTAATAGTGGTCGTTATTCTTTCTAGTCCCCAACCATAAGCGCTTCCCCACACAAGGGGACCGGAAGTCCTGCTGGATATAGGACCATGAGTTAGGTATTTTGGCAACTTCTACAATACAGAGAATTTTTGCAACAGTGAATGATCAGGAAGATTCTCTTAAATGAACTTAGTCATTACTCTGTTTTTGACGTTGTTCATTTATATCGTTTCCAGGGTTCCAAAATACTCCTGACCTTTTGTAGGTTTTCCAGAGCTTTATGTACTTTTCACTTTCAGCACGCAAGTACGAGTGACACGGCAGGTTGAGCACTTCAAAATCCAGGATTGTCATGCTTTGAGCTCCTCGTCTTCTTATTCAAGTCTACTTTAGTTTTTTCAATTCCACTTGTTTCCCCTTGAATGATTTGTAGATCCTGTAGTTTTATTCGCACAGTTTCTCTGTGGTGGAATACATTTCCAGTTTCAGAGTACATTTCTTGATTCAAACTTGTCTTACATTTATTTAAACCAGACAATGCCAAATAATTGAATACAATTTAAATTGTACATTGAATTTTTCAATAAATTTGAAATCTTCAAAATGATACCAAAGATGATAGAAAAAATTAAATGCTATTTTTACTATTGAGAATGTTTAGAAAGACACAAGAGTAATAGTAAGTAATACATATCCAAGAGTAGTAGTAAGTCATACACACAAGAGGGTTTCTAAGGAGAAAGCTTCATACATAAAAATCTATTGATCTGGTTGTATCTTATATACAAGAAGAAAAAAGAAGAAAAGATAAACAATACTTCTCTACTAGACTCTAAATATTGTAGCTACAGTATTTATTGTAGTCTATAGTAAATATTATGGAGAGCGTCGGCTACATTTAATGATCTCAACCCTCCTCCTCACTCATCATAATATTTACATGATATAAAATTTGTATAGAATTATGATCTATAATTTTTTGTAATCTTGCAAGATCAACAATTGTTGCCTCAATTGTATTTAAGGACAAAACTATAGATGAAGGAAAAAGAGTACAACATCATTTTCTTTAATTGTTTAAAGAGTTCATTAACTTTCTTATTTAAGAAAAGTAAGTTGCTGCATACCAATGCCATAAGTAAGTCGACGATGGTTGCACAATGGGAGAGCTTTGGTAAAGAGATCAGCAAGGTTATTTGTAGATTCAATTTTCTTAATTATAAGTTCTTAATCAGTAATCAAGTCATGAGTATAACTAAAATACTTTGGATCAATATGCTTTGTCATGTTGCTTTTAATGAAACCAACTTACATTTGAGCAATACAAGCACTATTATCTTTATGCAAGATAATTGGAGAATCATCATATGAAAATCCACAAGTTGTTTGAATGAATTTATCAATTGATCGCAACCAAATACATTCTCGAGATGCTTCATGTAAGGCAATAATTTATGCATGGTTGGATGAAGTTGCAGTTATTGTTTGTTTCATTGATTTCCATGATATTGTAGCTCCATGTCTTAAAAATACATATCCTGTTTGAGATTTAGTTGTTGCAGTATCAAATTTATATCCTGCATCACAATATCCAACCAATTTTGGATCTGCGGATTGTATGTAGTATAATCTTAAGTCTTCAATACCTTTTAAATAACGTAATAAATATTTGATGCCATTTCAATGTCATAGTGTTGGACATGCACTATGTTTTGCAAGAACACTAACTGCAAATGCAATATCTGATCTTGTAGATGTAGCTAAATACAAAAGTGCTCCAACTCCTACGAGGTATGGATATTGATCTCCCAATATTTCCTCTTCCTCCTCACATGGATGGTATGGATCATGACCATCATGACCACATCTAACCATTGGTGTAGACAATGGATAAGCATCAATCATATTAAATCTTTGCAAGATTTGTCTAATATACGTTAGTTGGTAGAAAAAAATGCTACCATCTATTAGATGCATACTTTGAAGACCAATACAAAAAGTTGTTTTTCCTAGCAGTTTCATCTCAAATTCACGTATAGGTAGATTAGTAGTTGTAATACATGCAGATGTAGTGCCCACTAGGTTAAGATCATCAACATATACATCGATGATCACAAAACCAGTTTTATCTTATTTGATAAAGAAACAAGGGATTAGTGGATCACTTATAAAATTATTTGTAATTAAATAATCTCAAAGATGTTGATACCACATGTGTCTAGATTGTTTTAAACCATACAAGGCCTTACATAATTTAATACCACGATATTATCTTGGAGCGGGTCCATTTGGAGTTCTTGTTTCTAAACTAGGTGGAACTTTCATATAAATATTTGCATCAAGAGAAGCATATAGATATGCAATTACTACATCCATAAGATGCATCTCAAGGGTGGCATGAACTGTCATTCCAATAATATATCGAAATGTAATCCATGACTGGATAATATGTGGATTCATAATCAATGTCAAATCATTGAGTAAATCCTTGAGTAACAAGACGAGCTTTATAGTGGGTTATTTGACCTTGAACATCTCGCTTGCTTATTAATATCATCTTATATTCCACAGGGCAAGATGTAAGAGTGTCTACAATTGGACCAAAGACTTTCCTCTTATGCAAAGAGGAATATTCCTTCTCAATAGTAGTTTTTTATTTTGACCAATCAGAGCAATGCATCGCCTCCTCAATGGTTTGAGGTTCAGGATCATCTTCCTTGCAAAAAAGAGCTTCTATAATCATATATGCAAATGATTCATCTACCATCATAGATGGTTTGTCCCAAATAACATCTATAGCACAATACAGAATAGATAATTCTTTACTCAACTTGTTCTTATTCCTTCCAATTCCAAGATTATTTTTCATAAGAATTGAAGGTACATTATGCATGGATATATCATCATGAATTGGTAGTCCCGCAGGATGAGTGGTAATTTCTTGAGAAATAATATCAAGATTAGTCAATTTTATAGCTTTCTTCTTACGAAGTTGTTTATTTGATCCACGAGTTCTTTTAGTTGTTGTTGTTGTTATAACTTGAGGTATTATAGTTAATGGCACTGCAATCTAAGCAGGTTCATTCTGAGCCTCATTAATAGGAAGTCTTGTAATTCTAGGTGCATCATTGAAGCCATCAGGTATTTCATCTGCAATCCGTTTTAGATGTAAAATCTTAGCAACTTCAATTTTTGCCAAAGATGTCATAGGATCAGGAATCATTGTAAATATTTTTGGTGCTTCAAATATGAGTATTTTATTTCTTTGTTGATTGGATAATACTCCTTGAAGAGATGAGAATACATTTTCTTCAAAACGGCAATTTTATAAATGTGCAAGTAATAATGAGCCAGTTGATGGATCAACAATACAAATAATGCTTGGTGAATCAAAACCAACATATATGCCTTATTGTCGATGAGCTCTAATGGTATGCCGTTGAGGTTCTAGTACTGGAATCCAAGCACGGCAACCAAATATTCATAAGTGAGATATATTTGGAACACGACCCAAAATGAGTTCATGTGGTGATACAATTTTAAGACAAGAAGGGCAGAGGCGTATTAATACAACAACATCTAAAACTGCATGATTCCATATAGATGCAGATAAATTTGCATGAAGGAGTGGCCGGGTAATGAGTTGTATATGCTTTATAAATGACTATGCAAGTCCATTTTGAGCATGTTCATATGGAACACAATATGTCAACTCAATTCCTGTTGCAATACAATAGTCTTCAAAAGACTTTGATGTAAATTCTTTTGCATTATCCATATACAATGTTTTTATAGGATAATCAAGAAAATGTGCCCAAAAATGAATAAGCATAAGCAAAAATAATTGTTTACATGATGCATCAACAAGGACCAAAAAATAACAAAATGGTCTCGATATTGGATTAATAGGACCACAAATATCACCATGCAATTTTTCAAGCATTGGTGGTAATTCTTGTGGAAGTTTCCAAATTGAAGGTCGAGTTATCATTTTATCTTGCACGCATGTATGACATAATTCCATAGAGTCTACATCCGCAGGCTTTAAATTGTGCCTAGTTATATATGAAATGATCTTTCTAAATAATGTGGATCCTGGATGTCCCAATCGTCCATGCCACAGAGAAACATGACTCTGTGTGATAGATGATGGATAATTAATTATATTGGGAGGCCGAATCATAATTTGGTATAAACTATTTTTTGTAGCAAAAGCTTTTTCAACAACTTTATGGCTCTTCGCAAGAACCAAAACCTCTTTTCTATTTAAAATGGTGGTCAAGAAGTGATAACCATTAATACGCACATCTTGGTAGCTGATCACACTCCGAGGTGTTGAAGGTGCAAACATTGCATGTTTATATTTTATGATGAAATCTACATGTAATTTTACCATTGTTGTGCCCTCTTGGAAACAAAACGCATTTTTTCCAGCTAGGGTCATCATATTTTTAGTTTGCCAAGTTGAAGATTTTTCAATAAAAAATTATCTATATTGTAAGATAGTATGTGTTGTTGCAGAATGAATGAGCACATCATTTGATTCATCATTAGAGGTTTTTTCATTCATACAAGCCTCTAAGTCATCAATACCAATTGAATCCATCAACACATCCATGGTATGAACTTCACGAGCCTCAGCTCATAGTTTCTTATGTTCTTGGAACATTTTAATGAAATGATTTGAAGTATCGCACTCATGTGCCAAATGTCCAATCATTCCACACTTATGGCAAGAATGCATCTCTGATTTTTTTTCTCTACTATAATTAATATTAGAACGTTTATTCTTTCCATATAGATAGAAATGATCATGACTATGACTACCCTGATACTTATAAGCATGTTTCGCATGTTTATATTTTTTTTTTGAGATTTTGAAATATTAAGTGCATGAAATTCTGGAACTGTAGTTCCAATAGGATGAGCTTCAGCATTGCGTAAGAGTAGCTCATTTTGCTTCTCAACAATAAGTAGATAGGATATGAGATCAGAATGACTCTAAAATTTCATATTCCTATATTGTTGTGTAAGCACAGCAAATACAAGAGGAAATGAAGAGAGAGTTTTCTCAATCATTTCTTCTTCAAAGATGCTTTGTCCACATAATCGTAATTGTGAGATAATATTATATATTTTACTATTGAAAGCATTTAAATTTGGAAAATCTAAGACACTTAAATGTGTCCAATTATGATATGCACTTGGAAGAAAAATAGTCTTTTGATGATCAAACCTAGATTTAAGATTCTTCCAAAGTTCAATAGGATCTTCCATTTTTAAGTATTGATATTGTAATGCATGTACAAGATGATGACGAAGGAGAAGAAGTGCTTTCCAACGAATAGCAGGACGTATAGAAATACTTATTGTAGGAGATTCTTCAAACATAATGACATCCG